TATAATAAATTAAATTTTAAGTAATTCAACTTTTCACTATAGAGCTTCTCACTTATAATAATAATATATGATGATGTTATTGATTATTACACTTATTATAAGAATTCTATTTGTACACAAACTTCACAAAGAAAATCAAATAGTTGATAAACTTAAAAACTCTCTTACACTTATAATTACCCACTACACAAACCTTCACATTTCATCTCAAAAAATTTGTTTACTTACTAAAGATGATGATGATGGCCAATATAAATAGCATTGTTATTTTTGTGATATACATTTTCTTATTTATGATCAACTTAAATTTTGCAAATGGTACTAGTAGACAACTCAATAGGTTATATCCAATATGTATTCGTCCTCATCCATGGCCATTTGTTCGTCCTCCTAACTTTCATCCTCATTCATGCTCACTCCTTCATCGATTCACCCTTGCCCGCCGCCGCGCGCTGGATTTCATCCTAACTTTCGTTGCAAGAAGGAGGAATTAAGAATATTCACTAATGAAAACCAAGTGTGGGATCAATATCTCATTGATCACATATTTGTTTCTATCGTACTTGTTAGTTTCTATCAATTTCCAATTAATAACTAGCTTCGTTTTGTAGGAATGGAATCGTTTGATTCGACTTATTATGAAATAAAATTTGAATTTTTATTTTTGTATGAACTGTTATTCACTTTCTCGAACACTTTTCTCTTTTTAAATCTAATTCTACATAAAATTAAAATTTATATATGAAAAAATATTTTTTAACTTGCAACTATTCTTATGTCAATATAATTAAAAAGATATTTTACAATGCAATCATAAGTTGAGTTATTTTCTTTAATAGTTATCTAGAAAATGTTAATTTTGATATTTTAAATGTGAAGCTAAAAGTTTGTAATAGTGAAATATTTTAGAATTTTAAATTAAACTATTCAATTTTTATACTTATAAATAATTTTTTTAAAATTAACATCTAAGATAATCTATTAAAAATAGGCTAACATCTTGTTAAACTAAATTGCTATAAATAATCCTCAATATGATTATAAATAATAATATTATATTAATACTACATTAAAAACAACAATTACTAAAGAAAAAATAAAATAATAAATAATAGCAACTTGTGTACAAACATAATTAATAAATGCATAATTAATAAATAAGAGCAAGTTTTGTATAAACAAGAAAAAAATGGAAAAGGTTATGGCTCCAATGAATTAAAACTTTGTGATTAGGAGAAATGTTCAGACAATACAAATTACTTCCGAAATGATCAAAGTATTTATCGAACGATTTTGATTAACTTTATGAAATGATTTTGATTTTGTATCGAACGACAAATCGGAGTGAGATTCCTAGTGTATTTCCTCCATACAGAATTTAAGTGTAACAACTTTATATTGAGGAAGTTCAGTTTGAGGATTGTTTCTGGAAAGATTTTATGGTGATAATATCATGACATAAAATAGAGGGCTCCCGAACCTCTCCATGGTCGATTCATACAAAAGGAAATATAGAGGGCTCCCGAACCTCTCCATGGTCGATTCATACAAAAGGAAATATAGTACGATTTGATGATGATAATTAGTGTAATCTATGCAAAATTCGTCATAGTTGCTCATTATTTTTTTCATTCTTTAATTATTTAGATGTCAGTTTTTTTTTAATCGTTTAAAACATTATTCGTTTGGTTAATAGTTTAATTTCATAAATGAGATTTATCTTTAAAAAAAATTAAATGTAAATGCAAAGACAATTTTAAATTTCTTTTCTTACTCAGTTCCGCTACGTTGTTTTGTTTGATTTATATCCTTCTGTCTAAATTTTAATTCTATTGAATAAATGGTTAAAAAACCACTAAAAATGTATTACTATTATTTTTATGTTTACACTGTTCTTGTTTTTAATTTTATTGAATAAATGGTAAACAAGCCAACAAAAATGTCTTTTTTTTATGTCTACATCACTACTTACAAAAATGTCTTTCACTTTCATTTTTTTATAGTTATTATATTTAATAATTATTGTTCTTGAATCCAAATAATTATGTGTTCAATTAAATATATAAGCATGCTAACTATTATAAAAATTGTGTATCTTAATTAAAATTCTTTTAATGGTGATTTATAAAATAGAAATATAAGGAATTTTAAATTCTCAATTTGTTGGTGAGCTTTGATTCTCCACATCTCCCATTTTCAATTTAAAAAATAAAAAGAATAGAAATTATAAACACAACTATGCAGCCACACGTTTATAACTTTTTTAGAAAGAAATTAGTGGATAAATATACTACATAACATCGTTTTATATATATAGTTATAAAATTAGTGGACACCTTTATTGCTTATTTTCTTCAGCATACAACATTGTTGCATGCACAACATTTATTTTTTCTTTACAATATGATGTATAATATTTGATGTTGTCCTTAAATCTATTGGGGCCGAAAACTCGACTGCTTAGTGAAATTATCAAAGAGATTTGGAATGAGAATTTTTTTTTCAAGGAACACCATTAAAGATTTATATAAAATTTTAAACAACACGTTAAGGAAATTAAATAGAACAATATTTTACTTCATTTACTGAATCTTTATGTAAGCAATTATTGGAAAATTCTTTCAATATTAACACCATACTACATGTTTATTTTATTTCATAAAAAATTATTACAAATATAGATAATGATCATTTAATTATTTTCAGAAATTCCTTAGCAATTTTTCCGTTTGCACCCTTGGGATAAAATCCACCGGGCACATGTTCATCTCCAGAACCATATACGATCCTTAGAATCTCAGCTGGAGTTCTTTTGTAGGAAAGTGAACCAAAATCAGCTGATAATATGTTACTACTAGTCCGATTCTCTGCTCCGAGTGGTGGTTGAATATATATACCTTCATCTTTGATCCCGCATTTACCTAGTTTATTTCTTAGATGACCAACTTCTTGATTAGCAAACTCCATAATAATGTTAGTGGTAAGTTGATCAAGATTTGCTTTTCTAGCACCAATAGGAGGTGGCCCAGACATAGGCAAATTTGGTGCAACTACGTCAAGCCCAAATCCATAAGAAGAAAAGTACTCTGCTTCTAAAAACTCTAAGTTCACTGCAAATTGCATTTTGTCTATATCTTCTTTCTCCACTCCCACTCCCTTCTCTGGGTACCCTGATGGACAATTAGTATTTGTTGTATATGAAAATGACATCAAGAAAATTTCATTAAGGACCATGTATGTGACTAAAAAATGGATAAACAGTAATTTAAAAGACATAATTAAGCTTAATGTAGAATAAGAAAAGAATTAA